TTACACCAGCAACCAGGGAAGGGTCTGAGCCTTGTCCCTGGCCTGACCATTGCCATCACCCCTTTCCTGAACTGTATTAATGACTAGTTCATTATAGTCATATAAGGCCTGGCATTACTGATGATCTTCTGCAGGCATATCAAGCAGGGGAACAGCTAGGTGATGATCTCAAGAAGAATAACCCTGAGAGTCATCCTCCCTCACAGAAACGTCTTGGCCACATGTCCAACAAAAAAAAAAAAGGCCCCATAACCTTGAAACATTTTCAAGTATCAACAGAAAGAGACGGCAAAGCTTCTGGAAAGTAGGCCGTATTCAAAGCACACCAGGGTTTATTTGGAAATATATTAACTGCTGCTGAAAGCAGATAGCTGGATACTAGAAATACTGCCATAGCCAATAGACCTTCTTCCTTAGGCACGGGCAATGCTGGCTGGTTCAGTAGGAAAAAGGAACGCAGTAATTCTTGGTAGCAGACGATAGGAGTCCTACTGAAACCTTCCGAGGCCATCTGGCTGTATAGCTGTGGAACAAATGTGATCCAACATATGAAAAAAAAAGATGTTTTCTGAGACTGTGGATTGTGCCTTTAGAGCCACACAAAGGACACAGAGCCATTGAACCACTCCTCATTGTTTACTAGCTGATAGCAAAACTGCTGTGAAGAAACCCAAACTTACCTGGGGTGGGATGACATGTTACTTTGTACACAGCGCTCACCTTAAATAATGGATACAAAATGAGCTGTTACCTTGGCTATAGATAGAATTTTTTTAATACTCTGCCTGGGTGCAGCAGCGATACAGCAGGCCCAAAGGATCAGCAGCTTGCAATGCAGACACAGACAAGGGTTGTGGGCATGAACCTAGCAGTGCGCTCTCTTGGGACTGACAGAGCCAGCAGATCGGCTGGCCAGAAGCAGAATGCTGCTGAAATTTTTGCAGCAAAAAAAAAACTGGCTTTCACCAGCACTTTTCGGGATATTGCAGGAATTCATCTACCATCTTCCTGGACCTAACATACATCTGCTGGTACCAGTGAATGCCACTAACACCTCACCTTAGCCTACCGGGGTGAAGCTGATACCAGCAAGTTTTGCCACATAGAAATGATTTCATCTTCCAGTGCACCAACTAGTGAACAGGAATCTGACGGTCTGCAACGTGAGCCCATTGTGTAACAAGTTTTGCAGACAACGGCGTTCAAAGGGAATGACAGAGAACACCAACATCCACGGCTGTCACAGAGCTTATGATACCAAACTCTGTCTGTTCCATCAGAAACTCATCTATCAGTATCTGTCAAACCACAGAATCCGTACGCATTACTAGGGGATTCAAGAACACAGAGCTGTTGCAGCTGTAAACATCTGCCAGAGACACAACAGGAAACGAAGGTGAGGATGACATGCAGATAACTGCAGTGAAGATCTGGAGGAGTACGAGATCTTGTTTGAAATATATGTTTGTCTTCTAGAGCCTCTCAGCATATCTACCATGCTTTCATCAAACTAAAGTATCTGTGATATATTTAAATAAGAAATTGGTTTTAGTTCCTATTTGTATTAAAAGTCTCTTTTGACCAATAAAGAGGTAAAATTCAACCATTATAATTCAAAAATAAATGTATTCTCAAATAGACCGTGTCATGATTAAGGATGCATCACACCTACTAATTTATTATATCTGAAGAAAACCCACATATACAGAAGATTTCCTGAAGAGGAAGATCTGCTGAGATGTGCCATCGTAAGTGGTACCAAAGCTGAAAATTTTGATCAGGGTCACTGACTAAACAAACCTCATGCAAAACACGGTCAGGTTGTCCATGGATTTTCTCATTGCCTGTGTCTGGAGTAAGAGGGGTGCTGTTCCATCTGCTGCTTTGCAAACCTCTAAAGGGCTTAATTCTCCCTGTGCACAAGGCAGAGGAGCTGGCAGCTCTGTGCCAGTCTGAACTCTGAGACCTTCTGGAAATTTCAAACTTTCCCTTCTGGACTCAGACAACTCCAATTCCCTAAGGGTTTGTTCAAGTGGGACATGAAAGCATACTGCAAGCTCGTGCCACTCTCAAGCGCTTTAATTGCCATGACTGGCACCAGACTGCTGCAGATGACCCCAGCACCCCCGCACCAGCATCCCTGCTCTTGGGGATGTGTGGGTCATATTTCATCTCCTTCAGGGAATAATTTTAAAGCACAGGGTAAAGGTGACTGGCCCCAGCTTCCCACACCTTGGTATAAATGGTGCTTCCCTAAGAAAGCCCCATGATATAGCGCTCTGGCTTTAATGTGGCCAGCAGGACCAGGGCAGTGACCGTGCCCCTGGGCTCGGCACTGGTGAGGCCGCACCTCGAGTGCTGGGTTCAGTTTTGGGCCCCTCACTGCCAGAAGGACACTGAGGCGCTGGAGCGTGTTCAGAAAAGGGCAGTGAAGTGGTGAGGGGTCTGGAGCACAAGTCTGATGGGAGCGGCTGAGGGAACTGGGGGTGTTCCGCCTGGAGAACAGGAGGCTGAGGGGAGACCCGAGCGCGCTCTACAACTCCCTGACAGGAGGGTGTAGCCAGGTGAGGGTCGGTCTCTTCTCCCAAGGAACAAGCGATTAAATGGCCTCAAGTTGTGCCAGGGGAGGTTTAGATTGGCTATTAGGAAAAATTTCTTCACTGCAAGGGTTATCAAGCCCCGGAACAGGCTGCCCAGAGAAGTGGTGGAGTCACCATCTCTGGAGGGATTTAAAAGACATGTAGGTGTGGTGTTTAGGGACGTGGTTTAGTGGTGGACTTGGCAGAGTTAGGTTAACGGTTGGACTTGATGATCTTAAAGGTCTTTTCCAACCTAAACAATTCTATGATTCTATTCTATGACAGAGCAGAGGTTATCCTGCTAGATGGTTGCCTGTTGGGATCTATAACAGCAAAGCCTGACACAAGGGTCAAGACAACACAGGCTATAAACCATTCAGATTTATTTTATCTAGGATGCATGATCCCAAAATATGAGCTAATGCTCCTCTGAATTCCATACTCAAACAATCTTTCTTAACAGTGTTCAAGGAAAAAAATATCGAGATAGGAGAGTCCAGCTATAACCCTGTCTCTGCTCCTACCCCAACCCTCTGAAGAGTAACAACTGTAGTTTGCTGCTGAAAATAGAGATGCAAAAGGAGAACCAACAATGAGGTATGAACCAACAATGAGGTACCCCCCATGGTATCGGGCTCACCAGATGAATTACCACCCTCTGCCCTGTCACCTTAAAGCTCAGTGAGGACACTGTCCCACAAGATGTTGACTAGTGGCAGGACAGCCTGCCGATCTCTCCGCCTAGTGGCGGGCCACCCTGCCGATCTCTCTGCCAGGAAGACCCAGACCACCATGCTGTTCCCGAGAGCGCTAAAATCTGCAGGGTGTTTTCCCATGGAGGCATCTCTTGTGCAGCACTGCCTTGCACACCCCCCAAAATGCCTGTTGAATACATAAGGGAAGAGGACAGTGTCACACGAACACTGTTTGCATACTGATACAACCTTTCGAGCCCCCAGCAGCCTGCTGTGAATTGCTGAGCGCTCTCTGCTCATACTGATGACCACGGAAATCCCGGCTCTGATTTTCCCAGGAGTTAAGAGAGCGCTCGATACCTCTCTGGATCAGCCCCAACGGAAGCCAAACTGGATGCTGCCTTATGGATTGGTAATTCAGGGTCACAGTCAAAGTGTAGGCGGGTCAAGATTAAAAATTAAACCCAGCTGATACTTCCAGACTCATTTTGACAGTTCTCTGAACATCTGACTTTGTTATTGTTGCTCTGTGGTTATTTTTTTTTACAGAGCCAAGAAAGAAGTAAAAGGCACAGCAACGAGGAGGCGAAAAATAAGCACAAACATTCCAGAAGGCAAAATTTTAGTCAACCATGACTCAGGAGAAGAAAGTGCCACCCACTGAACTGCACAGGCCACAGCTCCGCATACCATGGCAGCGGGCAGTGATGTCGCGGTGAGTCAGGAGCCACCCACGCCCCCACCCACGCCACTTCCTGCGGCGGCAGGGCACTCCTCAGAGGGCTGCCACGTGGCACAGGTCTCGCTCAACCTTTCCTTAGCGTATGAGATGTGACAGGAACACAGCCCTGGTGTGTTTGGCCACAGACGTCTGCAGCTTGCCCTTGCTCCCACCTGAAGCCAGTCCAGGGGAGTCCCTGTGCACAGTTATCTGTATAGCCGCAGTGAAAATGTCAGTGAATCCCGCTCTGTCAGAAGACAGAGGCTCCCAGGACTTAGGGGCTCTGTCACTTCACTTTGAACAGTTGTGACGGTAATGAGCTGGGATCACCTTAGCGGGACTGCAGCAATACAGCTATGATGCTGCTGCTTGACACAGTTGCTCCAAACAGTTCACCTGCTGCTATTAATACTACAACGCATTAGCATCAGTATTCTTCACTACCTTTCTCTACCTTCATGATGGGTTTCACGGCAGAGATATGCCCTATAAAATCCAGCACAACAGCTACATGAGGATGACACTTAAAATGCATTTCACCAAGTGACAGCACATATACCCTGCTACAGACCAGGCTGCTGCCTGATAGTTCTTTGAGAGGCAGTGAACATCATTTTATTGCAGTAATTGAGTTGTCTGCCCAAGTGCCAGGCTTCATAGTTCATATAGAAATTCTAGGGCTATCTAATCCCAGATCATATGCTGCAGCCAAAACCCAAAAGTAGAAGTGAGGCAATGAGCCAAACACACGGCACATGAGAAAAAGGCATGAAATGAACAAGTGGAGGCTGGATTTGCTATGAACATAAAGATCCCTCTATCGCAGTATACTCGCCATCCTGTAATTCAGTATTTCTAGCATGTGGATTGCCCTTCTTCAGTGCTATCCATGTCCTCTTCTGCACATGTAGCAAACAGCCACCTTGCCCTAAAATCCACTTTGGACTGGAAAGCCTGTCCGCAGCATGTCCTTAGCCATGCTGCTTTCTCCCTGGACGTCCTTACCTTCTTGCAGAGAACCATCTGGTGATCAAAGAGAAAGAAAACACGCTGCTGGTTCCGTCCATAAGGCTGGTAAATCCAGGACATCTCTCCCGTGTAGATCAACTCTGAGCTGCGGTCCAAGATATCGTCTCCCTAGAGGGCACAGAGAATGAGGCCGAGTGAATCGCCGCTCCCAGCCAGGGCAGTGGATACATTTCTCTTTGCAGGACAGGGAGAAGCAATAATTAAATAAGATTTTGGCCGTTCTTCAGCTCTCAAAGCCACCCCATCTGACTTCAGACCAGAAAGTGGAGATAGGGGATAATTCTGAAGGAAGGGAAACAAATGAAGTAAGCATGAACCCTCAAAGCATGGTATTACAGTTCACGTTGCAATGAGGAGAGCTGCTCCAGACACTGTCCCCCTTCACTCCTCTCCAGGTACCCCCAGACCCTGGATCTCGCGGCAGGTGCTGGTGGCATCCTGAGAGCAAAGCCCCTTCCCTCCTTTGAGGAAGAATACAGAGTCACTTTGTATTCAGGGTAACAAGTTCCCTGGCACCCCCTCCCTTTAAAATAGCATCCCAAAGCACGTCCCCTCCTGAAATCCCAGGCCAGCTACCAAAGTCACCTACGCTGGGATATCAACTCCCCCACCCGTGAGACTGCCAAAACTCACCCCTCCAGATTGTTGCCTCTCTTCCCAGTCATTCAGGCAATTACAGTCCCTTCTCCCACAGCTCATTAGAGCTTCCCATCTCCAAAAAACTGTCAGGACCACCCCAGCTCCTCTGGCAGCCTCCAGCCCCCTGGCTGGCAAGGCCTCCCCGGCCGGCTGCCAGAATGCCCTCACCCTTTCTCTGCCTCCAGCTAACGCTTGTTTTCCTCTCCGATTTTTTTTAAGGATTCATGAGCAGATGGTCTTGAAAACACAGCGCTCGCTCTCCCACTCTCCGAGAGAACAAATGCAGTCACCCTCCACTAATTGGGATGAGCTGGACTTTTTAAAAAGTTAATTAAAATCTATTTATTAAAAATGCGTGAATTCACCACCACCTGCCCTGTGGGCATCTCAGTGTATCTCTCACTCTGAAACGCCACAGAAGGAATCAGGATGACTTCAGCTAAGAGGTAAGGAGCAGGATTCAGGAGCAAGTGAGAGAAAAGCTTTTTTTAATTATTTTTTTGGCTCTGAAACTAGTGCAGTTCTGGCTTTGATGCCAAACTAGAACCAATTTCTGGGACAAGACCATCCCAAGATCTCAGCAAACAGCTTGTAAAGGTTCAGCCAGCTACGGGGAGCATCTAGATAGACATGCTTTTCTGCCAAAGCAACCAAGAGTCATCCCCACTCATAATTTCTTGGTGAGGATTTCAGACTGCTGTTCAGGTAAATGTGTAATTAACCTCTCAGCATTGATTGGAAGTGACTGCCTGAGTCCCTGCGCCCTGTGACAACAGCAACTTCATTAAGTCACTGCATTATCATGCTGCAGCACAGACTTTCAAATCGCCTTAGCAAGGTATTTATCCACCTCTATCTCACTTCGGTGGCTGTGGTATCTGAAGGCCTAATTAGGGATAACTTCCCGGGAACACAGAGGGTCGCTCCCAGAAGGGATGGGCTGTGCCTCATGCAATGTCTCAAGAGTGTGATGTCAGGGTGCGATTTCAGCCGTGGTACCTCCTGGCCAGAAACCGGGGACCTGTGCGCTGCTGCAACAGCTCAGGTATAAGCAAGCCCTCGAATGAGAAACCTCTGAAGAAAACACACTGGCTCCAGAAATTGTGGGCTTTCCTGGCTAATCATGAGCTTATATGAAGAAGATTCATACAAGCTTATGGATGGGAACTTTTATGAGAGGGGGTGAGCTTAGAAGAGGCTGGCTGCTAAAAATAGAAAGCCAGTTTTGTCTTTTACTCCTGTGGTAGCATCTCAAGCCTGAGGACACACAGAGGACTCTGTAAACACTTCTACTTGATTAGCTGAATCCAAACTGGGTAGTCCCTGCAAGCAACATAAAACAAAAAAATTCAGATCTGAAATGATAGGATTTGTATTGCATTTTTTATGTTGGGAAAACAATTTATATATACAGTCTATAGGCTAGAAATAGATGATTTCCAATGCTGGATTAGCAAATTTGGAAATATATATTGCAAATAGTTTTGGACTAGCACACGGCTGGCCAGCCTTCAGCCCCAAGAGCAGCATCTCCCTGGCCCTGGCTGTTCCTCAAGCCCTCGGTTGCTGCAGCAATACACCAGTGTGGCTGTGCTGCCAGACCTCCTAGAGCAGATGCAATCAACCTTGAAAGGCATTTTTTTCCCGACACAGTCATACCACCTCTTTGAACAGCATGAACTGTCTTCTGCTAGCGGAGCGTCCCTACCGGGGGAGCTCACGGGGTCAGTTGCAGGGTGGCGGGCAAGGAGGGAAGCGTTTGCTTTTCTGCTCGGCTGCTAACATGACTACCCCAGGACGCCTCCATACTTGGTCCTGACTTGAGGCAGGCTTTCTGCAACACCTCTCCCAGTCCTTCTCTAAAGCCAGTCCTAGGCCTGGATCCCTCCAATCCTACACAAAACTAGAAAAAAAATTTCTTTTCCATTTGTTCCTGAGCAACTCCTAGAGAGGCTGGATCATCTATATCCTTCTGTAAGTTAAGAGAAATACTGCTATAAAAGGAAGAGGCTGAACTTTTAGTTATTCTGAACTGGCAGATGTCCTACTGACTTCAGCAGAGCACAGCGGCAAAATGGCCGAGAGAAGACCAGATGACCTCCTGAGGTCTCTTCCAATCTGAGTTATCCTATAAGCCTATAATAAAAATCTCAGCCCTCCCCAGCCTGCACCGGGTTTTCGCTGTGCATCCTGCTACATACAAAGGGCAGCAAAAAGAAAGCTGACTCCTCTTTTCTTCATGCACTCACAGGCAGAGTCCAACTACTTCGTGTGCAGTAATGGGAGCAGAAGGTCATCCAGATCTAGGTTGGACGTGTGCTTCACACTCCCTTGAGCTTGCCAGCGCTAGAATGACATATAAAGTCCTAGGGCTAATCCCGACTGTTGCAGCAGAGGGTTGGCTCTTCCGTTGCTGCTATGGAAAGATGTCGAACATCAGCTCCCCAGTTATGCTATAGGTGACCGTCACTTTCTGTAACAAGGAACTGGGAGGAACCAAAGCGTTTTTGCTAGTGTCATGGAAGAAATGCTGTTGGGAGCACCACCATAACACGGCACTGCGAGCCGCAGCACGTTACACCTCCCAGTCTGC